GTTCCTCTGCCTATTGACAAAGAGCTAGGCCCCATTCTGCTAGGAACAATGTACTTGTAGAATACCGTGCCTGTGCAGTTCCTCATTGACATTATCACAAGAACCGGAGAGCCCAAGTCACGTTATGATCAGCATTGGTTTCTGGTCAATTTCTGTTTCAAGATCTCATGTGCAGTGTTGGTTAGGCTTCTGGGACCAGGGCTTCTAACACACAGGGCTGTCCTTACCCATACACAGAACCTGCAGCTGCGTAGGGCACCTGACAATTTGCAGCATCACTGGGTCTTAATGTGCACTCAGCCACCTCTTCCTCTCCCTGGTCCGTGGCTTCTTCTGGAGAGGATCGAGTTAACTTAAAAGTGAAAAAGCCAGCCAGCGCTCTGAGCAGAACGCTGACCCGGTGACAGAGCCGTTCGAGTGGGAATGAAGCCATTTAACAGACATTTGCCAACCCCAGGTCTATATTGTCAAGATAGTCAACAGAAGCTGAGTTTAAACTTCGCTTTAAAATTATTTCCTGAAGATTATAAAATCACATCTCTAAAAAATCATCAGCTCCACCCCGGGTGTCATTGGAAATAGGGTCACCAGTTTAATAGTACTGCATAGGGACCCATACATCCTAAAGACACCCCTTCCACACAGTTCACAATCATCTCATTGATTACCCTTTGTTTCCCCCACCCCTGCTCTCTGCTGTCTCTCATCTTCCAGGGAGCCAGTCCGGGCCCCTGGGAGAGGTGGAAGGGGGCCCAGCTCGGCGCTCTCATAAGGGAAGGAGCCTCAAGTGGAAGGGGGCAGCCAGTCCTCAGTGCCACCCAGAGCACGCCATGCTGGCCTCAGCCCTCAGAGCTGTGTGGTGCTCTGGCAGGAATTTAAAGGGCCTAGGATTCTGGGCACCGCCACTGGTACAGTAGCAGCAGAGGCACTCAGAAGCCCCAGGCCCATTAGAATCATGGGGCCCTGGGGCAGTAGCTCCCTTCTCCCCCATTCTCCCCCATATCATACCTTAATTGTAAGCACTTTCAGACAAGGGCTTTTTTGTTCTGGATTTACACAGTGCCAAGCACTATGAGGCCCCGATGGGGCTACCGGACACTGCCAGAACACATAGTATCTATCAAAAGGACAACATTTGGGTGGCAAGCGCTGGACGGGGAATTTCTAGAAGAATAAGCAAACAACTGTTTTCATTGGATGTGAAAAAACTGGGCTAATTCAACCTCTTTTAACAGGGAGAGAAATTTGAAGCCAAAGTTGACCAGTGGTGCCTGAATTATTTTTAGGGTGGGAGTGCTGAGCTCCCCCCCCAAAAAAAACCCCCAACAACTCTGTTTATGCCCCTCACCACTCCAGGCTGGGGTAACTCTCCCTGGCTGGATGCCATTGCAGCCAATGTTTCCCAGTCGGGGGAAAGTATCAGAGGGGTAGCTGTGTTTGCAAAAACAACGAGAAGTCCTGTGGCACCTGATAGACTAACAGATTTACTGGAGCATAAGCTTTCGTGGGCAGTCTGAGAAAGTTGGCAATTTAGCCACAGCTGGAGGCAAAAGCAGGACCCATTGTGGCAATGCAGCCTCCAGGGCCAGTGGCCTGGTCTTTGGGATCGGTGGCTGCAGAGCCTGCGGGGACAGCGTGTGGCAGGACTGCAGAGGGACCCAGCATGGGTTGGTATGTGGGGCTGGCGGAGCTATGGGCGGGGCTGGCTCCTTGGTGCACGGAATCTGGATGGAAAACCCAGGGTTGCTGTTCCCCCCCCCCCACACCTGCTTCCCGCATCTATGGTTTTGACTTCTCCATGAGAGAGCTTTTCAGGCACACCTCAGCCCACCAGGTCTGCTGAATAGCTTTGTGGTTATCAGCCCATATTCTTTACTGCCTCCACGGCTGGCAGTTGATCAGTCAGCCCTCTGCTCTCACAGCAGCCTGTAGCAAATATTTAATCTTTTTTTCTGCACTTAATTGCTTCTCAGTGAGCTCATTAATTGGCACTTAGCCGGTTCCCACCTCCAGTCACATGCTCTCTGACACTGTGCACAGATGCTGATTAGTCGGCAGAGGGTTGGAAACCAGAGGAAAGCCATTCTGAGGGAGCTCTGTGGGGTGCTGGGGGATTTCACTTGGGCCTGAGGAAAAGTAATTATCTAGATTCAATTAGGCTGTGAAAGGAACTCTGGCTTTTGCAGACACAGGACTCCCAAACCATTAGCTGCTTGTCACCAGTTAACCAGTTCGTCTTGAACCTGAGAGCTGTCGATGCCTCTCAGATGGAGAGCAGAGGGGTTAGTTAATTCTCTTCCTGACCAGTGGGATCACCAAGGCTGGAGCAGGAGGGGTTTGGTTAGTGGCTTCAGCTTTTCATTTGTCATGGGACTTTTGCAGCTGTCTCCTTGGCACCGAGCATTACAAATGGGACATGTGGACTATTCGGGTTCTCCATCCGTTCTGAGAAAGTGCTGGCTGGTTGACCTGCCTGGACAGACAGGGCTATCGGTTTGTCACTCGGCTCCCCATCAATCGGCAGCACTTGCATCTGGATTTGTTGTTCCTGGAAACGCTGCTCTCGAAAGAAGGATTTTCTGGCACTCTCTCCCCCCATCATCTCAGGCTGTTGTGTGTTCTGGGAGCCCTGCCATCTGGAGCGGGGGTGCTGCATGATCTCCCTGCTTGGTGAGCACCTGATTCAACCCTATCTCAGCCTTATGGAGCAGATATCCCTTCCCAGTGCACCTTTCAGCCCAGCGGGAACATGGACATCTTGAGCACTGCATGTAGATGTGGTCACCTCATCTCAAAAAAATGATCTTGCCCCTGGAAAAAATTCAGAAAAAGGCAACAAAAATGACTGGGGTATGGAACGGCCACCATAGGAGGAGGGATTAATAAGACTGGGACTTTTCAGCTTGGAAGAGATGACTAAGGGGAGTGTGATAAAGGTCTATGGAATCACAGCAGGTATAAGTAAATAAGGAAACATCATTTATTCCTTCCCATTACACAAGAACTAGGGGTCACCAAATAAAATTAATGGGTAACAGGTTTAAAACAAATAAAAGGAAGTATTTCTTCACACGATGCACAGTCAACCTGTGGAACTCCTTGCCAGAGGATATGGTGAAGGCCAAAACTATAACAGGGTTCAAAGAAGAGCTAGATAATTTCATGGAGGATAGGTCCATCAGTGGCTGTTAGCTAGGATGGGCAGGGATGGTGTCCCTAGTCTATTTGTCAGAAGCTGGGAATGGGTGACAGGGGAGGGATCATTTGATTCCCTCTTCTGTTCATTCCCTCTGAGGCACCTGGCATTGGCCACTGTCGGAAGACAGGATACTGGGCTTGGTGGAGCTTTCGTCTGACCCCGTGTGGCCGTTGTTATGACCTCTCAGAGAGCAAATTCTCATGTCTCCCTGATCACAGGCTCCGGGCAGGCTCGACTGGGTGCCTGTGCAGTTTCTCATGACCTTTTAGAACAAAAGAGATTGGAGTGGGGAGGGGAGTCCTGCTCTGACCTGCTTCCCATAATCCATGAGGGCAGGGAAAGCCGTGGTGTACGGAGCACTTGGAGGTTACAGGGTATCTCACGCCTCCATGCAGCCTCTCCCCAGGCTTCTCTTTCTGCAGCACTTGCAAACTTGCCCACTGAGGGCATCAGGACTGGATTGTAACTGCGGCACAACCCCTTCCCTCCTCCCCCCCCACACAAACGTGCCCTGAAAGTGCACGTCCCCAAAGACATGCTGCCGGGCTGTATGTGTGGAGAGCGCTCAGAAGACCCTGCAGTGACAGGCAAGACCGGGTAAGAACTGGAACAGCGTGTGAACCCCACAGCTCAGCTGGTTGCACAAGTGGAGGAATTTCTGTACACCTGGGACTCAGGAAATGATGCAAGCGGCCTTCCCGGAGCTTGCCAGACCACACCTGTATGGCTGTCTCTCCCCAGCCCTCTGGCTCCCGGGGGTTTCTCCTGAGCTCTGCCAGAGACTGTGCTGACAGAGGGCGAGCTCATCGCTGAATGGCATTGCAGCTGCCTCGACGGAAGGCGATTTCAGCCAGGGGATTTTGCCTGGGTTTTGTTGAGGCACCGGACTCTGCCTAGAATAAACCTTTCCTAGAGGAACCTCTCTACCACTCCTTCCCCCGCCCCCGCTCACGTTCCATTAGCCCAGGTTCAATGGGCATTGTCAGCGGAAAGGATCCCATTGTCTTCATTATGGCCTGCATGCATTCTGCTCCTGGTGCTGTCCCCATAGTGGTCACGATGCACACAGCCTGCTTTGGACACACAGCGCTGGGCAGTGGGGCAATGCAGGAGGCTGCTTGCGAGAGCCCACTCTGGGTCTCTCTCACGGTTTCCAGCGGCTTTTGAAAACAACCCACCTCTCCCCATGTCTGCATCCCGCTCTCTGTGTCTTTCCAGCGTGGATTGGAGGGGGAGCCAACACACCACGGGAGGGACGTTAGCTCCCAGGTGGGCTGGGAGAGATGAGAGCAGTGGGAGCTGCAGAGAACACAGATAGGTGCGGTGGGGTAGGCTGAACTCCTGCATCCAGATCGCTATGAGCAGCTCTAAACAGCACAGATTTAAAAAGACGGGGGAGGGGGATGTAATCAGTCAGCAGGGAGAGGCAGGTAGGAGGAAACCCGGGCTGAACTATCCCAACAAAACTGCCCAAATGTCTATAAACCGAGACCTCTCAGCGCTGCCCAGTTTGGTCAGTGGAAGGTGACTGCGAAGGTGAAAATCGGAAAATGTTGCGCTTGTCTCTACCAGCCAGATCTTGGTTTTATAATATCCCCCTGGACAGCGAGGGACGAGGTCTCTCTGCAGTAATAAAATCTCAGCTCCCAGGCTGGCATGGAGACCTAACAACAAACAACTTAGCTAGGGCACTCATCCAGGACCCCTTTCTAGAGACAGGCAGCTCTGCTAACGTCTCTTCCAGATGCTGATGGGCCCCACCAGCACTCAGCTCCATGATTATTTTTTCCCCTTGGTACAGAATATCACGGACCAGGAAAACCAAAAGGAAAACTTGGACCAGCGGTTTCCCAGCCTATTCAAGAAAGGGCGGAGGAAGACGGTTGTAAGAAACCTGGGGAAAATTATCTATTACTCCAAGGTCAAGTTTAAATTCCAGCATTGCCAGGTAAGCCCAGTTGCGTCTGGTTGCACGCAGTGTAACTGCACCAGTCGATTTCCCCTGGTAACGCAGAGGAGATGGAGTGGATCGATCTCAGCAGAGAAAAAGGTTGTTTGAAAAGAAACCTAATTCTCCGTCCAGGGAGGGCTCACGCGTGGCCTGGAATAATGATAAACATGGTCTTTCAAGCTCACTCCGACGCTGCCCTGCTGAAATCAGTGCACGTTTTGCCATTGATTTCAATGGGAGAATTGGCCGTATTTCCGAGGGTTGGTTGGCATATCGGAATGCCGGGGTCCCTTCCACAACACAAAGCCCCGAACGTCATTCATTTCTGAAGGTGGGGTTGGCATCTGGAAACCCTTTTGCCTATTTAAGGACTTGGGTCTGCTGACCCACGTGGACCTGCCTTAACCTACCAACATTGTGCTGGGGAATAGAGGGGAACTCCTCACCTACACAGCATCCCATGGGCTAGAAGATGCTCTGTTCCCATGCTGTACACAAAAAACCTAGGGCACAATTGCTTCCATCGGGACTGAGAACTTGGCCTTGCTTTCAGCTGTGCCTGGAAACAGAATGGGTCCTTCCTTTGGTCCCTGGCACAAATGTTTGTTTGGCCCATTATCTAGTAAATGTCCCATGAGGCAAACCTCCTCGTGTCCCTTTCCTGCAGGAGGTGAATGACTGCTACTTGGAACTATTCCAGTCCCACCTGTACTTTCAGTCTGTTGGCTCGAATGGATTGACATATCAGGTAACGTGTCTCTCCTCTGCTATGAAATGAAGGGGCAGATGTCAATAAAGAGACAGAGTGGTCTAGTGGATAGTGGATTGGACTTGGAGTCAGGAGATATGGCTTCTGTTCCTGGCCCTGCCATATGATCTCAGTCAAGTCCTGTCCAGTGTTCCCTGTGTGCCTGTGCAGCTGCTCAGAAGAAATTCAGATATTGCCCAGCTGCTTAATACAGCTCCTACAGCTACGTTTTGTTTCTGTTGGTGGTGCACATTCGCACATGCCTCGGTGCACATAAAATTATTCTGCACACGGGTGCAAAAGATTAGAGAGAACATTGATCATGTCTCTCAGTTTCCCTTCTCGCCCTTTGTCTTGTCCATGTAAAACTGAAAGCTCTTTGACCCAGGGCCTGTCTCTTGCTATGCATTTGTACAGCACCCAGCAGAACCGGGGCCTGAAGATGCTCCTGTAATGCAAATAAATACTTAAGCACTTAAATAAGTGGCCAGACTTGCAGAAATACCCAGAAAGTCCCCATTGGCCAAAATGAGACTTGTAGTGTGCTCAACATGTCTGAAAATCAAGTGACTTATTTGGGTGTCTGGATATGATTCGAGAAGCCTAATTATAGCACCTTAAAAAAAAAGACACTTAGCCTTAAAGCACAGGGCACAGCAAGAGAGAAGGGAAGTGGGGGAAGGGAAGGCATGAGTGCTTGAAGTCAGCCTTGCAAAACATTGTGATGAAAACTTATCCCCGGCTCCAAATCTATTTACCCATCTTTTACCACGATGCTGCTGATAAGGACAAAACAAAGGAGATTCTGTCTGTCCTTCCAAAACAAAGCAGTCTCCTCCCTCCGCCAGTAAAATTGTGCAAGGCAGTTCTGCAGATGTTTGCAGAATCCAGCTCCTTCTGGAATGAGGTAGTGCCTTCTAAGTCATTGAGGAAAATGCATGACGACAAGGCAGCCTCTTGAGTCACCCAGCAAACTGGCCTTCAAGTGTGAAAACACATTGTCAGGATATAAACCGTATCTAAAAATCTTTTGTCTCTGTTACTAACAGCCCCTTAGATTAATACGGAGGGAATTATACAAGAATTAATGCAGTGGCATTGTCACGTAGATACTATGCCGTTTAATGCTCCTTACAGCTGTGATTTAGAGAGATGTTTAAGCTAAGGCTGTTAAAATGCTTGTATTTAGGTAAACGTGAAATTGCTGAGCATTTCAGTCATTACACGTTTATACATGGGGCACGTGGGGAGCCATTTCCCCTCCTCCCCCTTGTTGCTGCCTCTGAGGCAGCAGCGCAGATAGAGGCTTCATGTAACAGTCAAGGTCAGCGGATGAGCCAGGCTCATGGGTTAACTGTTTGCACATTCACATCCCTAATTTAAGCACCTGTCTAACTATAAGCACTTGGTCTGGATTCACATGTGTCTCCATTATGCGGTTTGTTTAAATTTTGCAAACCACTTAAAAGAGCCTGGTCGGTTTTCCTTTCCGCCGTTACTCAGTTTCACTTTCTGATTCTTTTGCACTCGCCCAGCACTGTTTGGTTTGGGTTTCCACGACTGCAGAGGAATATTTTAAAGCAACGAGATCCAGTTCTCACTGACGTTAAAAATGAAGGGTAAAATCTTCGCTCCACTGAAGTAAATGGGTGTTGACTAGGGTCTGGTGCTCATTTACACTTAGGCTCAAACTGCCTCCATTCGGAAGAGGTTTTGCAAGCTGATTCTCCTTACTTTATAATAAAGCCTCATTCCACTACAAAAGAAACTAACAATTTGAGCCCAGACTGGTACCTATTGGGGGATCTCAGATCCTTTTGGAAGGAGGGCACCAAAAGGCAACCAGACCAGGTAATAACAGTAGGTTCTGCTTACGCAGGGGCTGCTGCCGCTGAAAGAGCTGAGCGTGTGTGACACTGAAAAGGCAAAGCGCGCAGAGCTGGAGCAGCATGCCTTCCGCATCACAGGTGAGTGCTGCTTGGTTGGCTGTGGCACGATGAGAGTGAAATGTGAGCTGGCCGTGATGTGGCCGTGCTTTGCAGGAAGCCACAGGGGAAAACGTGCTTCGGAGATAGGGTTTGAACCCCGCAGGGTGTTATCCCTATTATGACCCATATTTAAGAGCCCTTGTTCCCCATAGATCTCTGGGTCCCAGCCAGCCTTAACACCAGACCTCTCCACCTCTGGGCTCTTTCCTTGCTGTTCCGGACATTGGTCTAGAGGGGAGGTTGGTGAGCAAAGATGTGAATTCGGTTCCCAATCCTGTGTGACTATGGAAAAGTACTCAGTCTCTCCACGACCTGGCGTGCCCAGTTTCATCACAACACTGGAATGAGTGTGCTCCCTCTGTCTGTGTGTTTTGCTTCAACCATCAGCTGTTAAGGGCAGGGCCCATTCCCCACTGTGTGTGTGTACAGCACCTTGCACAGTGGGGCACATTGGGACTCCTCTCCTATAGACAACTAACAACCACAGCAATGAGGGATGCTCTTTTAGTCTCAGTCGGTAGCATCAGAACTGCCCTTACAGGACTCGGTAACCATCAACCAGCCTCTCTTCTGCCAAAGTCCCCCTCCCTTTTTGAATTTTCTTTTGAGTCATCTGGCATGATAAAAGCCTTCCTGGGAGAACAACCTGTCTGCACGGCAGCTGGAAGTTCACTGGGGCTTAGTCATTGTTGAATGACAGCAATCCAGAGCAACCCAGAATGGTAGCTAAAGTGTGAGGTAGGCAGAGGTAACTAACAGCCCCAGAAAGAGACAGAGTCTAGCAACACCCATTTGTGCCTCGTGCCTGGGGTCTGCGGGCTCAGGTGACCCATGTTAGAAAATGAGTCAGAGAATAACCCCACCGGAAATAATTATTTTTTACCTAATTCAAAGGGCTGTAGCTGCTAGAACCTGCAATTGCTTCTCGGCCTCCCCAAGAGACTGCTGAGCTGTAACTGTGTTCTAGTACAACAGGCCAGCTCAGCTCCCAGAGCTCCTCTGGCCAGCTCTGTTGGGGGCTGGGATCTGCACAGGTGACATCCCCAATAGGGGGGGGCACATAGGTGGCGACTTCTGTTCTGGCTGGGGGGGAGCCTCAATCCACCCCACTTCACCCCTTAACCCAAGCCTCTGACCCCTCCCTGCCTCTTTCCACGCCCACCCTGCCTCTCCAACCCCTCAGCTTGCACTGTTCCGTTCCTCCTCCTCCCTCCTGGAGCCTCCGAATGTCAGGAAACTCCTGTTGGCAGCAGGCAGGCAGCGCTGGGAGGGAGGGGGGAGTAGATGAGTGGGAAGGGGCAGCTGGGCTGCTGGGGAGGGGGTGCTGAGCACCCGCTAATTCGTCTTGGTGCATGTGTCTGCCTCAGAGCACCATGGGGTCGGTGCCTGTGGAGGGATGGACTCGTTCAGCCGGATTTCAAACGCTCATGGGAAGCAAGACAAGCTTTGTGAGGCTGTTGAGGAAAGGGGGTTGGCGAAGCAAGCAGGAGGGAGAGGGATAAAGATACAGACCTTGAATCCAGTGCCCACGGCGCCTGGCCGCTGGCCCAGCCCACGAGCACAGATGGGGACTGTGGTCTCCCAGGTGTGGAGCAAGGCTGCTCTTTCATATTTGGCTCTCCTTGGTCAATGCGACAGGCCTTTGGGGGAGGCCAGAATGAGAGCTCCCACTGCAGGGAAAAGACCAGTCACTGCTTGCCACCCAAGAAACAGCCACTGAGGTTTGCAAAAATGGCCTCGCCTCAGAGGCTGCCCGATCCCGAATGGCAAGCCAGGCTATCCTGGGAACTCTTTGGCGGGTCACAGCCTTGTGGCTGAGCATTAGCCGAGTGGTGCAGTCTCTTCCCCTGCCAGGCCTGCTGCTGATGAGGACAAAAGGGCAGTTGGTCTGGACCCTTTAAATCGCTGCTGGAGCCCCGGGCAGCGTGCTCCGGGTGGCTCTGAGGGCTGGCTGGGGGGATAGGCTGGTGCAGCTCCTGGCAGTGCTGAGATTGGGCTGCTCCAGCCCCGCCCCTTCCATTCAAGGCTCCACCTCCCCCGGGAGTGCAGAGGTGCTCCCTCCCACCTTGTCTAGGGGCCCAGCAATTCTGTTGCCCCCTCCATTCCCCATCCATTGCCAGTGACCAAGTTCTCAGGTAGCCATTCATCTGCATGTGCAGCAAACCTCCATATCTGCTCCATTTGGGGCTGGCATGAATCTGTCTACACAGCGAGCGGCAACCCACAGGAGCGAGGCTCAAAGCCCAGGGCAACAGATTCCATCTCTGTGGTGACAAAAATAACTGTGCAGATGTTGCTATAGGGCCAGGGGTGGGGGTAAAGAGGGGAGTGGGGGTTTCCGAGCTAGCGGGCCAGCCTATGCCGCGATGTCTACACCGCTGCTTTTAGTGCTGCCGCTCAAGCCCCGCTGCAACCGAGTCCGGTGGCCCAGGTTCTGAGACTCGCGGCTGTGGGCTGCCACGGTCTGTGTAGACGTGTCCCGTGAGATGTTTCAACCACATGAAGATATGCAGTCCTCCAGAGAGTCAGATCAAAGACGTTGCATTAAGCCTGAACGTAAATTACAGGTAGGAATTTTACTGCATGTTAAGCAATAATATATTGCACTAAGCCAACCATAGGGTTAGACAGCTGGTGAGACCACTGGTCATCCTGCTGCTGGGGTGGGCCTTTGATCGAGCCCACAAAGTCTTAAAAGGATCCTGTTGCTGGAAGTTGAAATTAGACAAATCCAGACGAGGAAGGAAGCACAAGTCTTTAGCTGTGAGGGTAATAAGCCACTGGAACAGTTTAGCAAGTGCTAGGGTGGATTCTCCATCGCAGGCAATCTTTGAACCAAGATGGGCTGTGTTTCTAAAAGATCCGCTCTGGGTCAAACAGGAGTTAATTCACCACAGTGTTTCCTCCTGGCCTTAGAATCTATGAATCATTAATCATTGTTGCTCCCTCGGTCTGTTTTTTTTTAATTCACCTGTGGTCTCTCATCTTGTTTTTGGACTATAAGCTCTGTAGATCAGGGCCCTTCTCTCTGTTCTGAGTTTGCCCAGTGCCTTTCACATAGCGATTCCTAACCATTACCATAGCATAAATACATGGAGAGGGGCTGGGGACAGGAAGAAATACTGATACTTAGTGCTTTGAAAATGGAAAGAGCTGTACTAGCATGCTCCCAGGAATCCTCACCTCCTTCTGTGAGGCCATTAAGCATTGACCCCCTTCTAGAGATGGAGAAACTGAGGCACAGAAAGGCTAAACAACATGCCCACGGTCACACAGGGAGTCAGTGGCAAAGGTGGTTCTCGACTCTGAGTCCAGATGTTTTAGTCACAAGACCATCCCCTTATGAAAGCCAGTGACTTTGACAGGGTCCTATGAATTCCTGTGCAATTCTGCACCCTCTGCAGCTGCTAGCAACTGGATAAATATTGGTATCCTCATCGGACCAGTATCCTCATCTGTCTGTCAGGACAGAGCTCTCTGAGGCACTCAGAAATGCTCTCATGTCTCTGATCTCTGACAGGTTTCTAAGAACAAAAGGGCTGGCAGCCAGCACTGGCTCCTAACCTCAGCGAAACTTTGTGCAACACCTTGGATCACCCCTGCATCTGATCCTATCCCTCCTCCCAACCCCCAAATAATTTCCACGCTTGGTTTCTTAGTGCTGCAAGATTTAGTCTGGTAGTACACTTGCCATACTTGGTAAAGCACCCTCCATCCCAATGACTTGCATCATGGCTGCCATGTCAGTGCTGGGGAGAGCTGGAGGATGCCGAGCAGAAGAGAGGAATCTGGTGGCTGGGAAAGGCTCAGAAACTGGATGCACCCTGGGACCCCAGAGCGACTGCGCTCTTGGGGTGCTGGGGAATGCAGAAGGTGACTCCTTGAGTTATCAGCCTCCTCCTTCTCTTCTCTTGTGTCACAGCCTCCCACGTAACCTGTCACAGGCGCTCAGAGCATGTCCAAGGGCTTTAGGCTGAGACATGAATTTCTTGTAGCTTAGCTTAGATGTGGCAGCGTGAAGAGCCTGGACGGGTTTTCCTGGCCAACCTTTGAGAAATAAAAACAAATCAAAGTCAAGGGTCATGCCTTATTGAAGGGAGCAGGGGACCAGGCATCTAGCTAGGTACTTGTGTGGCCCCTATTACCATAGAGTCTGAACATGTCAGGCATTGGAGTATTTATTCTCAGAACACCCTGGGAAGGAGGGCAGTGCTGTTAGCCCCACGTCACAGATTGGGAAACTGAAGCACAGAGACTGAATAACTTGCCGCAAGGTCACACAGAAGGGAATCCAACCTAGAGCCCACGAATCTCATTTCAGCAATAGACCCTCTAGATTCTGTTCCTGTTCCACATCCATTATGTGACACGATTAATATTACAGTAAAGCTCAGAGATCCTAGTCAGATAGAAGCCCCATTGGACTAGTTTCTGTGCAGACTCATGTAAGAAAGAGGCAGAACCTTCCCGAAAGAACTTACAGTCTAAAGGAGCATGTCACTTAACTGCTCTGGGACTTAATTTTTGTACCTGTACAATGGACATAGGAGGACTTTTCTTGCTTTACAGGAGTGTTGAGAGGCTTAATTAATAAACGACTGTAAAACAAGTCTAAGATTCTAAGATGAAAGGTTCAACGGAAGGGCAAAGTAGCACTCTGTGGCTGGTGATTTTTCATGATGGCATGCTGTGATTTCGCTTATCTGAATGAGCCCCAGCCTGCAGTCACTACAACCAGAATCTTACTTATTTGGCATCTCATACAGTTTTAATGAAAGGCTTCTAGTTAATTATTAATGCTGGTGTACATTACACAGCCCGCCGGAAACAGGTTATTTACGTCACTAGGGTGTTATCCTAGTGACTAGTAAGAGATGCGAGAGATTTTTGGTCTGCACACTAAGCAAAGGAAAACTGGAAATACTAAAATCAACAGTGGCCAGTGTCATTTCATACAGCAAGGCTGGGTCTGAGAGCAGTTAGAAATCGTCCCGCACAAAATGTATTTGGCAGTGCAGCAGGGGCATGGCCACGGGTGGACCTGGGCCCACACCTACAGGCCCACCCGCTCCCAGCTCTGCCTCTGCTCCCACTGGGCCAGGGGAGTGAGGTCGGGGGCTAGTTCTGCTCTGCTCACCCAGCGCTCCTGAAAGGGAGCAAAGTCAAGGCCTTGCAAGCCTCCATGCCCTGATCCTGCCCCCTCCCCCCCATCTGGAGTGAAGGGGAAGTGGGGCAAGCCCCAGTGCCCTGATCTGCTCCCTGCCGAGAGCACCTGGACAAGCCCTGACACGCCCACCCCTTCCATAGCAGGAGTGCCCTGCAAGTGGAGTAAGGGGGTGTGCACAAAGTGGGTGGGGGTGCAAGGCACATATTTTTCTGGAGGCTCCCATTTTATTGTGGCCCTGGCCAGAGCATCGATCCCTCCACCTCTACAAGGCCATCTGGGGGGAGAGGAATGGCCCCATTGTTCCTACACCCCACCAGTCATTTCCCACCCACCCAAAATCAGGGGCAAGGCCCATCCACTTGCCCGTTCTGGCTACGCCACAGTAACACAGTAAGCAAATAGCTTTGTGGCCTCCTGCAGGTTTTGGGAATTAACAACAAAAAACTAAAAGTGTCAAATACATATCAAATGGGTTAAAAGTAGTACGCTATTTGGGGAAGCAGTACAAAAAAGTGTAAAATGTCAGAAATAAACACATTTTGATTAGCCAAATCTTAAATTTGCTTTTGTCAGAAATTGAAACATTGCTCACACTTATGGAGGGTTTTCAAACATTCAGAAGTGAACAGTGAAAATTTGCCACAGCAGAGGTAATCCCAACTGCTTTTCTTAAAGGAATGCTTAAAAAAACCGATATAAATGTTTATTCTTTTATATGTCATAATTTACATAGGAAAGAATGTTAAAAATTGGACCCACTTTGCAACCCAAACACAGCAGCAATGTAGCTAGGGCATGAGAAATGGACAAGATAAAGGACTAGAAACGAAAGGGAGAAGGAACAGGCTATTTTCACATCTGATTCCAAGCTGTAAGTGGTGCACCGTGATTGAAAAAAACAACAGGGCAATTTTAAAAACACTTTTCTGGCTGGATTTTTGTAACACATCAACATTTCTAGCCATCTCAAGTTTCGTAAAAGCTCATAATTAGGTCCCTGCATTTGGGATCTAATTCTACCCGACAGTGCCCCTTTAAGAGCCACATTCAACTATTTTAGCAGGCTGGGAAAACCTGGGAGAACTCTCTCACATCTCTCCCAGCTCAATGGGCAAGTGTGACATCATCAGAACAAACTCTCTCATTGGCTGAGCACAGTGCACTATTGCCTAGCAACCAGGGAGAGCTGATTAACGCTTGCAGCACCATGGTAGCGCTTAGCATTCTTCGATATATGCTCAGATCATCTTCTGCCTTGTGTCCCCAGGGAAAACCTGGGAGAACTCTCTCACATCTCTCCCAGCTCAATGGGCAAGTGTGACATCATCAGAACAAACTCTCTCATTGGCTGAGCACAGTGCACTATTGCCTAGCAACCAGGGAGAGCTGATTAACGCTTGCAGCACCATGGTAGCGCTTAGCATTCTTCGATATATGCTCAGATCATCTTCTGCCTTGTGTCCCCAGGAGCGAGTCGGAGCTCAAGCGATGGCTTTATCATCTGGAGAAACAGATCCAACTCAGTGGAGGAAACCTGGATGGGTCTCTCCCATATCAGGTTAGTGCCATGGGCCGTGGGGACCTGGCTGGGAACCAGATGATCTATTTGTTTTTTAAAGCAATGCATGACGTTTTTCCTCATTCACTGATCCGAGAGTGAACTATTCAGGAGAGAAGTAAGAGGTGCATTTCTACTGTAGACTGCTCAGCTTTCCTTGTCTGGGATCCACATGCTTTTTGAGTCAGTTGTTCTCAACTTTCTACATACCATGGCACTGTGGTTTATTCCTGATATCTGGGGACCCAGGTTAAGCAGCTGATTGCTTCACTAGGGGTTGGGAGCATCTCCAATCAAGCCCTCTCAGCGGTCCAGAGGGACCCAGGCCACTTCCAGCTTTAGAGGCCCTGAGCCATAATAAAAATAAAAAATGACGGCACTGATCCAGCACCAGCCACTTGTAGTGGTTTGTTTATATAATCAGCTGATCTGAGAGGACACATTCATCACAGTCTGATCTTGTGCCATCAGAACCGATGTATTTTTATTCATATTAATGAACATTTTAAACTCTTTTTAGTATGACAAAATCTGTGTCGGTTAACCAAAGAAATGACATCTTATCCCAAATCTTTTTTACTTCCATGTGCAGCTCTGAGCTGAGCGAGCGAGCCACATTTTGGTCCAAGAAGGATGCACATAAAAAAAATTGTGAAACTCATCAAAGGCCAAAACATTAACAAGTGTCCAGATTTGAGGCCCCCTTTGAGTTTGAGGCCCAGGTCGAATGAACCTCCTCCTCCTCCCTCTCTCTCCCCCCACACACATATTGGCCCTGTCTCCAATTCCCTCCCCAGATGCAACCACTAGTGAGCAATTCTCTTGGCTGGTGTAAAGGATTCATTGCAAGTTGCTAAGGCCGCTGAGAGGCCGAGCCCCCAATCTTCACTTGTGGTTCTAATCTCATTCTCCATGGGCCAGCAGGAGCTGGCAGCACAGGGGAAGGAGGAGGGAAAGGAAAGTGCCGTGCCTCACTCAGTAGCAAACCCTTCTGGTATTCTGGAGTAGTAGAAGAGAATATTGGCTTGGAATGGTGATGATAGATGATAACTTTGCCCTGATATGGCACCTTCCATTTAAGGCTTTTCAGGCACCCTGCACACATTTAATTAAGCCCCTCAACTCCCTTCTGAGGCAGGTGGTTATTCTCCTCGCCATTTCACAGAGGGGCAAGCCGGGGCACCAAGAGGGTTAGGTAACTCTCCCAAGGTCACACAGTCAAGTAGTGGCAGAGTTAGGGATGGCACCCAGGAGTCCTGACTCCTGGTTTAACTTATCACTTGTAGCAATCCAGAAAGGAGGGCTAAAGTAGAAGTGGGGGGGAGAAGAAGGGGAGATGGCCCTGCTATCTGAGTCCTTTCCGAGTGCAAGGGACGCCTTGTTCCATTAGGCTGCAGTCTGAGCTGGGTGATGCTGAGCTGCACTCACAGCCAGATGTCAGGTGTATCTGAGAGAGAAAACACTGGCTGGGTGTTCCCACAACTACCTGTCCAGTCAGAGGATCCTTCCAAGGCCTTAGACACTCTGGGCAAAATCTCCCGTGCGCTGCCAATCCACTGGTTTAGCCACCCTTGTCAGTTTGCTCCCAGCATGAATCATTAGGCCTGGTACAAGGAAGTGCAAGGCAGGAGTTGTCTGACAGGCCAACCACTCACAATTTCCAGTCTGTCTGGAATAGCTGAGCGCCAGGGAGCCACGATTTCCACACCTATCAAACATTTCTCTGCTGATGGAGGAGAGCAGCCCGGCCGCCAGGAGCAGACAGGAAATCAGCTGTCAGGCAGAGCGCTGAGGAGAGAACTTGCCTAACGAGTCCATGAGCTGCGCTGTCAGTCAGGGGTTACTGCACTCTGGGATTTTATTAAGCAGGGACCTATTGTAAAAATAGGCTTTGGAAAGGCATGTAGATTTTTCATCTGGCAGCCCCACTGCTAATCAAGCCTTTTATGTACAAATGGTCATTAATCCTGAGTCTGTAGCAAAGCCCCAGCATGCACATGGAGGCTATGTCTACACTGCACGTTTTTGCAGCAGAAAATATGCTAATGAGGGACTCATTAGCATGAGTCGCAACATCATTAGCATATTTTCTGCCAATTCTTTTTGTGCAAAAAGAAGCAGTGTAGCCGCTTCCATTTTGGGCAAAAATCCCTTTTGCTCAATATCCTTACGCCTCGGAGAGGTGTTTTTGGGGGGGTTTGCGCAAAACAGAAGCGGCTTCACTGCTTCTTTTTGCACAAAAAGAATTGGCAGAAAATATGCTAATGATGTTGCGACTATGCCTTTGTCGCCAGAAAACTTGCAGTGTAGACAAAGCCGGAAGGAGGACAGAGATGGCACAATGACCAAGGCAGGTATAGATTCCCCAGTCACCTGTGCTAGTCATTAGCCTCATAATTAGCATTCATCAGTGTAGCGTGGGCTTGAATGTCCATCCTTCTAGCCCATGACTGTTATTCCCTGCCTCAATGGTCTTTTGTTGGGCTATTGTTATTTATAACTCTTTTGCTAGCGCTGCTGCCAGTGATGTATGTGGCTTTCTCTAAGGGTATGTCTAGACTACATGCCTTTGTCGCCAGAGGCATGTAAATTAGACTACCCGACATAGTCAATGAAGCCAGAATTTAAATATCCCCGGGATCATTAAAATAAAAATGACCGCCGCGCTGTGCCGGCTCAGCTGATCTTCGGCACAGTGTGGCAGTCAAGATGCGGCTCGGTCGACAGGGAACGCTTTTGTCAACCGCTCCTGTAAACCTCGTTTCACGAGGCATAAGGGAACGGTCGACAAAGGCGTTCCCTGTCCATCGATCTGCATCTTGACTGCCGCGCTGTGCCAACGATCAGCTGAGCCGGCACAGTGCGGCGGTCATTTTTATTTTAATGAAGCCGGGGATATTTAAATCCCAGCTTCATTGACTATGTTGAGTAGCCTAATTTACATGCCTCTGGCGACAGAGGCATGTAGTCGAGACATACCCTCAAACAGATGAAATATCTCAAACAAGTAACAGTAGATCTTTAAATACCAGGGCAGAGAGTTGATCTGGGTTTCCTTACTCTTATTTGTTAAGCAGCTTGTCTAATAAGTTCAAGTTCATAGGCAATATGCACACTCCAGGTTCTCTTCTGCCTCCTCCTTATGCTATCGATGCCAACCCATTCCTAGATAGACACACAATCAACTTGCCTGCGGACATGTTTGCATTTTATTTTTGGAGGCCTAGATATAGGAGGCTATCTTCAGTGTGAACTTCAAGTTTCTGTGATACAAGGATCCAAGAAATTTGGGAGACATCTGACCTGTGCGTGTGTTTTAATTTTGGAACTTCCCTTTGGTACACGTCTCTCAGTTTTTGTGTTAGATCTTTAAAAAGGACATGCTAGCAGGTGTGAGCAGTGGAAGAAACCAGGAATGAGCTGCAGTGAGGGAAAAATCTCTAAGGGTGTGTCTATATAGTTTTTATTCTGAAATAACTATGCAAGCGTCTACACAGCAATTCCGTTATTTCGAAATAATTTTGAAATAATTTCGAAATAACAGACGGCTTATTCCGACTTTTGTAAACCTCATTCTATGAAGAATAACACCTATTCCAAAATAGAAATAGCTATTTCGAAATAAGGTGTGTGCAGACGTTCCACTTCTGCTAAGTGATTCCTTCGGGGGCTGTAAATCAAGATAGCACGTCTACATTAGGAAGCCTGCCTCGGACTAATTTTGAGGCTTCCCTTCAGTGTAGACGTGCTATTTCAAAATAAGCTATTTTGAATAACTATTCCGGAATAACTTATTCCGAAATAACTGTGCAGTGTAGGCATAGCCTGAAAGTTCAGAGGTTTGGGTTCAACCTGAATAAACACCTCACCCCTGAATGCTTCTGCATATTTCCCAAGGCTGAAAAGCTTTTGAAGGAGGAGGATAGTTAGGAAATAGGTCTAAAGTCAAGAGCTGTGTTTTCTTCATGACTTTGCTACTGACTCAGTGTGGGGTTCTAGGAAAAACACTTCCAGCACCTTTCTCCCAGGCTGTTTTAGCCCCATTTTGTAGACAAGGAAACCGAGGCAAATTATTATTAATTCTGGGGTAGAACGTTTGTTTTTACACCAGGTTTTTATTCTTTCTTCTTCCAGCTAAGTTTGAACTATACCCAAAAAACAACTTACCTCGTTACTCTCCCACTCCCAGCAATAGTCCAGCAATGCAAATATAATAAATGATGGAGAATAAAACAGTTAATGGAACTTAGACCTTCAAGAACAGTTTAGTTTAGCTTCCAATTGAATCTGGGGAGGGTGGCAGGCAGGGGAGGTGCTCAATGGCTTGAGAAGGCTCTCTCGCGTGAGTAGACTTGTTTTTTCCATTCGTTCCACCTGGTCCTCACGTGCCTGCTCATTGCTCCCCGTTTCCTTAGAGCGACTGGAAGCAGAACTCCTTCAGGAAAGAGGAACTGAGGTGGTCTGTGCAGAATATGCCTGTCCAAGAATGGAGAGGGACCCAACGGGAGTCCCTCGGCGATGTCCTCTGCGTCTCCAAAGTGAAGCTGCAGCATTTGCCTTTCCAGGTAGGACCCTTAATAAACAACTTGCTGTTGCCAGGAAAAAGTGAGTAGATCCAGTCACAGGAAACCAATCCTCTGTCTGTACAATGAGAATCCAACAGGGGGCGCCATTTTCCGCAGCCCGCCTCTTCACACCAGCTGGCTCCTCCCATTCACATGCCCTCCTATGTTCATGCTAGTTACTAAACCAAATCTCCCATCGGTACACCCCCTGGCCTTAGCCTTGCAGGCCGCGAAGCCCCGTGCATGTTCCCCAGGCTGGCTGTGCCTCTGTGGATCAGCACAAGAGCCAGTGGGCATAACTAGGGAGCAGCACCGGGCCAGGCGAGGTGCCAGGGGTTTGTGATGTGCAGATCCATGATGCGTGTGTGTGTGTTGAAAGAAAAGGAAAGCAATAGCTTGAGTCAAATATGAACAGAAACATCAACCCTCCACCCCCAAATTCCCCAGAAGGAAAAGTCATGTGCCCTGGATCCTGCACATCGTTCAGCGTGGGTTTACCTGTGCACGCTCCAGCTGCAGTTGCGCTCAATGGGAGGACCCCCTGTGTAAAGTGAAACGTGTGTAAAGGTTGGCCGGGTCACAAGGGTGAATGTTGGCGCCAGCAGGGACATTGCCTAGAAGCTGCACTTTTCTAGCTGTTGTAATGTAGAACAATAAAGGCACCTCTAAGTCACTGGCCATGATTCGAAGAGCAAGGAAAGAATGCTCAGGCTCTCGCTGATCTCAGTATGCTAAGGATCAGGCCCGCCCTTAGTTGTTTTCCTCTGCCTCTTTGGATGTTAACTCCCTTCCCCCGGGCTCTCTCAGGAGCAGCATGACAGGCTTTTGATCCTGTACCCGTCCACACTGGTGATCATCTCTGAAGAGCGCAATGGCCTCTACTTCAAGGTATGTGTGTTTTCAAGTCCTTCCTCACCCCCTACATCCCTTCATTTTAGTTCGCTGAGATCCCATCTCTTTGCTTTCCCCACCCCCGTTCCTGCGGCCAGTAAGCCAACTCTGATGTCGTAAGGGATCCTCCCGTGAGAACCCCCTTGCAAAAGTCCAGGAGGAAGGGAGTTCACGGTCTGGGTGTTTCGGTGTTTGGGAGGAGGCTGCTGAATGTTTACTTGGGGCTCAGAACTGGATGAGTGGCAGCCCTGCATTCCACGCCAGCTTGAGACACGCCCGGCACGGCCCCTCCGCAGTCTCCCTGCATCTCCGCTGGAGTCTGTGGGCGGGCTCCGTCCTCCTGGCGGAAAGCAGGGGCTGGCACCAGGTGGCCTGTGTGATTTCTCCGGGGCGAGGTGCCCGGAGTAGGCTGGCTGGAGCTGAGCCTGGTAGGTGCGTTGGGTTTGGTTGTTGTCTCCATCCACTATGTTTTAGGCTGACGGGTACCACACAGGGACTGGGTGAAAAGTGAGGGTCTGGAGCAACCTCTGGACCTGCCCATAAAGGCTTGAAAATCTGAGCAGCACCGGGGAATGTCGGTTGGGTTTCCCTAGTGTAGCCAACATCTCATCTCCCGGGGTGGGAGCAAAGCCAGGAGGGCGGCTGGGTGGGTGGCTGCCATTCCAAGCAACGTGCCCTCCACTCCACCCCACCCCTTTCCCCTACGCTCCGCCCTGCCTCTTCCTGTCCCTGCTCTGCCCCGCCTCTTCCCGTCCCCCGCCCCCTTTGCACCCCATCCCCAAACCCCCTTCCCCCAGGCGACGCAAGCTGCGGGATTACTGGGGAGTCTGGCATGGGGTGGCAGTAGGCCCCCTGCACTCAGCTCCTGCATGGGGACGTGGTGCGGGCTGGCGACAGGTTGCTCTGCTTCCTGCTGCGGTGGTGAAGTGGAGTGAAGCTGGGAGAGGGTGGAGCACGGAGCAGGCTGCTGCGTCACTGCCACTGTGTGTGTGCGTGGGGGGGGGAATCCTGCTGCTGGCCACAGGTAGTCCCCAAGGCTGCCCTGAGACCTGTGCATGAGGTTGCAGAATCATAGGATGGTTGGGGTGGCTGCTGGGGGGCACCCCACAGCACGGGGGGAGCTGTCCCGAATTGTCCTAAAGGCAGGACAGCTCTGGCAAAGGCCAAGGCCCCAGGAAATGCCCATCGCTGACATACCATACACAGTCTCTCCGTCTTGGCTCCAGGAGGGGACATGCTTTGGAAGCCAGGAAAGGAATGAGCAGCCGCCTTAGCATCAGCTGTGACTACAGCCAGATGCTTGGTGCCCCCGGGGCTCAGAGGAGAGGGCTAGTGCCGACAAGGGGCTGGGGCGAGGGGAGGAGGAATCCAGCGATAACTCCCCCCTCCCGCCAGATAACGGCTTGTTTGCAAAAGCAACTCAGCGATTTTAGGGTACTCCGCCTAAGGGGCCTGGCTTTCAGAGAGCCTGGGCCACCCGCCAGCTAAGTATAGGGCCTCGGTGAGGCAGGGGTGGGGAACCTCGGGCCTGGGGGCTGGATGCAGCCCCCGGCTTACCTGGATCCGGTCCCCAAGGCTCCGAGGCCCCGGCTCCACAGTGGAGAGCCTGCACTGGCCCCAACTGATTTTTCTGTGGGTCAGTAGCCCCCAACCTGAAAAAGGCTCCCCACCCCTACTGTAAGGGAGCTAAAGTGGGGCTCCTAACATGACTAGTCACTTTGGAAATGTGAGGCCAGTGATAACAGACCCCCTGTTCCCTTTGGCATCCCCTTCCCACGGCGGCCAGGGGTCCGCGTTAGTGGCTGTGCTTTCTGCCGCCGTGATTCATCAGGCTCCTGAGGCGGCAGCGGGAACCACAGACATGTGGAGGCAGGAGAGCCTCCTGCTGAGGCTTCTGCCCTGAGAGCGAAGATCCCGTCTGAGGGGGGTGGGGAAGGAGGCACCAGACACTTTTGCTCTTGGACTCCCTGCAGAAAACAGGAATTGTCATTGGTTGGGGGCGGAGGGGCAGATCGGGCCCCCTTGGATGGAGTAGGCTGAGGCTGCCTTCACCTAGCACAGCAGGTTCTGACTCACCTTGATGGGGAAAGGCCCCAGGGCACAGCCCTGGGAATGCAGAAGAGGAGCTGCCAGTGCGGTGCATGGGAGGGAGCCAGCTCAGTGCCAGAGGAGGGGGAGAGGAGCCCCAAATGTCTGAGGCGGCGGACGTAGGAGTCTCATCTTTGCCAGAAGCTGGGAGATGGGACTAAAAGCAGCGCCCAGTGCCCAGAGAGGGGTCAGTGACAGAGAGGTTCCGACGTATCCAGCTCCCGCGGGCTAGCCTCTGTGTTTCAAGCTGCATGTGATCCAGGGCCTGACGGCTCCCCAAAGCCGTGACGATGGCACCCTCTGTCCTCGTGCGACAGGATCCAGCCTGCCCCTGAGAGGAAGGAGTCAGCTGGGGTTGGGGCGCTCGGCAGCTCGTAGCATTAGGCCTGCGCGGCACAGGACTGCAAACAGGAGCTGCTCTTCCCTCCGGGGTAGAGAGCAAAGGGCAAGGCTGCTGACCAAAGCTGAAGCAGCCTCCCAGGAGCCAGGAGCATGTGGCTGGGAGATGGAAGGGGTAATCCTGGGCCTTTTCTCCCCCTCACTTCCAGGCTAGTCCCCTCCCTTGCTCTGGGTGAGTGACCTCCCTCCCTTCTGCTGTTCTGGACTCTCTGCTGGCCGCCAGCCTGAGACAGCACCTGCCAGCTGCCTTTTGGACATGCCCCGGGTTCGGTGCCAGGAGGGGGGCTGTAGAGCGTAGCATTGATGTGCCCTGGCCGAAGCTGCAACCAGCTCTTCTCAGCTGCAGGGCAGATTACTCCAGCGCGGTGGGGCTTTGGAGATGGCCGAGATGGGAATCCCAGGGGGTCCCCACCCACACCCTGAAAGCTGATTTCCTGTACTGGGCTCGCTCACCAGCTGGAATGCCAGGCATTGCGGAGGGCTGGCATTATTTCCCCACATTTGCTCTGGGGCTGTGCTGGCAGGGCGGTGGCAGGGAGCCTTTCCCTGCGTACGAGGGTGTAGAATGTTCCACACCGCAGCAGATTTCCCAGCTGCAAGCTTGCAGTGCGATTACTAATCAGGGTGTGGTGTCTCCAGTCAGACCGAGATGTGCTGGAACAATAAATGTACCAGCACTCTGAGCCCTTTCACTGCACCTTCCATCCCTGCGCCTCGCAGCGCTTCACACGCGCTCATTCACGAACGCCTCACAGGCAGGGAAGTAGCAATTTATTATCCCAGTGGGGAAATTGAGGCACGAAACGGTGACTTGACTTTCCCTGGCACGATCACACACCAAACCAGGACTAGGATCGAGTGTGAGATAGGATCAGACCCGTGGAGATCTAACTCTCAGGCCCCCCCTTTTGCTCTAGTCACGAGATCACCATTCTGTAACGTGGCAAAGAAATACCCCAGCAGATAGTGAATGACTAGTTGCTATTACAGAGGCCCTAGGAGCATAGACAGAAGTACCCTGCTAGCCCATGACTCCATTATAACTCTTCTAGCACTGTTCTTCAGCCGACCCCCTTTTTCACATCTGGCCCCTTACTGTGACACTGTATAACAAGGCAAACAGCTGGCACGTTCCCCAAAGCCAGCCATACCCACCAGAGCCAGGTTTGCTGAGGAAAACAAAACTCACAAGCCTGCAGTGCCCTTAGCCAGCCTCTCGTACCACTGTAAACTGGCATGTTCATGGGCCGGTTGGAATTCCCACGTGCACCTGCACGTTTTCACGGGTGATTTCCAAACAGTGCACTGTGAACAAACAGTCCTTGATTTCACTAGGGCACAGAGTAAGAACCTGCGGGGACATATCTGAGTTCTGCTTCTTGCATAGTCCCATCCTCTTTACAGCAGCAAGAGGGGCAAATCCAAAGAGGTGTGGAACCTCCCGATCTGGGTTGTATGTTCTGACTGTTACACACTCATTCTGCCCCTGCTATGCATGGCAATTCTATATGCTCCGCGCCTGGTGCAGTGATTTGCTCCAGCATAGAGAAGGTGTAAAATGCTGCTATTCTGGCTTGGGAGCATTTCACATCTACTTTGCACTGCACAAGGCAGCTGACAATCAGGCCAAGAAGCTGTCTGGAAAGAATTGCACACCGGTGAAACTAGCTGGGAAGATCTGACCCTGAAAGAACCAGTGAGGTCTGGAAAATGTTGACCTGCACTGAGCCAAGTGTATGGATACATGGAGCTAAAGCAGTGGTTCGCAAAGGGTGGTCCATGGATCACTAGGGGTCCGTGACTGTCTTGCAGGTGGGCCGTGGGCTTGGGGCTGCACACATACCCTGCCCCCGCAGCAGGGAGCCTGCGCTAGTGCTGCAGCCACACACCCTCCCCCCTCACAAGGTTGGCTGTGGGGGGGGATGAGGGTGGGGGAGGGGAGCCCCAAGCCTTGTGGGTTGGATCCAGCTCGTGGGAGGAGTAAGCGGCTCTGCAGGCTGCCGGAACGTAGGGAAATGGCAGTGCAGGAAACCGCTCACCTGGAAGCTTTCCCACTGCTCCCTTTGGCTAGAATCCCAGCCAGCCCACTCCGGCATCCAACCTCCTGGCCAGCCCTCCCCTGCCCTCCGCCTCCCAGCCAGGCCTTGCCCCCTCAACGCACTCCTGCAGCCATCTTCTCATCATGCGTGGTTGGCTGGTGGTCCACGGGAAGGTCTGCGTTGAGCAGGGTGGGTTGCAGGCCAAAAAGCTTGAGAGCCCCTGGGCTACGGATGACTCCTCGGACCTCAGGAGAGCTGCACTACAGATGAGTTTGGCCTTTCCGTCTGGAATCTGCCCATCTCCTGTTTGCTATGTGTCCCTTCCCCAGACTGGTCACTGGGGACATCTGCATGAAACGGGACCTTTGTAAAGCGCTTCTTAGTTCCTGGCTCATCTTCCCCACCCGAAGGTCACCAGCCTCTAACACGACTTGGCTGCCATGCAAAATGCCGCTCCCTCACAAACAAGGCTGTGATGACACCAGGCTACAAGTGAGCGGGGCTCTCAAGAAACAAAGATCCTGGACTTTTGCCCGAACGGGAGCAGCACAGTATTTCCGCAAGAAGCACTGATTTTTTACATGAGATTGTCAGTGTTCTTGTGGAAATTCAAGTGGCCAGTGTAGACAGCTGGCAAGTTTTTCCGCCAAAGCATTTGCTTTGTCGGAAAAACTAGCCAGTCTAGACACAGCCATGGAGTAAAGGGAGCTATTGGTGCTTCCCAGGCCGGCCTGTTGTGAGGATTTATGTTTGCAAAGCTGGAAGGTCCTAGGTATTTTATAGTGAATATGCCACTCCCACTGTATCTGATTTATTTGGAAAGACAATCCCTTCAGTGACTCTTAGCAGCACATTGAGGTATATTAACCCTTAAATCCATAACTAGAGATAATGTCTTCATCCATCTTATTCTATTCACCCAACCAACCAAACTGCATCCGGGGCAATATTTGCAATTCACATGGGGAAACCAACCAGAAAGTCGCTTGAATTTAAAACCAGTGGTACAGGGGAAAGCTTGTTTTTCCACAGGTCCAAGCTCAGCAACGCTTTACAAATAATTTACATGGCTTGGGTGGTTAAGCCATATTCACAGTGTTTTTAAAGGCATTTTTTTTGTGCATTATGTACAAATTAATAGGAAAGGCTGGGCTTGTGGCTAAGGTGCAGAGGTCAGACTCAGAAGTTCTGGGTTCAGTTCCTGACTGTGCCATAGACTTTCTGCGTGACCCTGGGCAAGTCACTTAGGGTCAGGTTTTTAAAGGTATTTAGGCACCTGAATACTTTCTGAAACTTTTATGGGCAAAGTTTTTTTAAAACACCAGAGTGATTTAGGCACCTAAATCCCATTGATTCTCAGTGAGATTAAGGGCTTGTGTACACAAATGGTGGCAAGCTGGGTGTGAATCTACTCTGCCACCATCTACTTGTCCACGTGCACCCTGTGGACATGTGTGAACAGTTAGTTAATGTGCTTTGAGCTAGGCCTGCTTCAAAAAAGGCAAGTAGTCTTGCAGCACCTTAGAGATTATCACAACACGCAGAGATGGTATCATGAGCTTTCGTGGGCACAGCCCACTTCTTGAGATGAAACAAAAGCAAAAAAGGCAAGAGGTTTGTCAGCACTGAAGCGGTGCTGGTGTAGTGTTTCAGTGTAGACAGTACTTACACTGATAAAGTTTCTCCTGTTGGTGCAGATATACCACCTCTCGGAGAGATGGTAGGTAGGCTGTCAACAGAAGAATTATTTTGTTGATGTGGTGCTGTCTACACTGGGATTTAGGTTGGCTTAACTCCGCTGCTTAGGGATGCGGATTTTTCACTCGTCTGAACTATGGAGTGGTGCTGACCTAATTTTGAGTCTAGACCAAGCTTAAATCACTGTGCTCTTACAAATTGTTAACACTTGGACCATGGCAGACTAGCTAGGGTAGATTCACACCCTAGCAAGCTGCTAAGACCTAGCTGTGTAGTGCAGGTCTGGGAAACATTTTGCAGCCGGAGCAGAGTAGCCAGGTTGAAATAAGCCGCAGTGTAGGAGCAGCGAGATTGATGAAAGAATTATTCCAGCCACTGAGCTATCGCTTCTCAGAGATGTGGATTAACGACTAACCTCTTCTGTTGATGTAAGACGTGTCAGTGCTACACTGCCAGTGAGAAACAGCCTCCATAGCTGGACGGACAGCCCCCCACACTGCATAGGTCCTGTGTCCTGCTGACGAGCAGGGCCCCCTAAAGTGGGGAGCCCAGGGCAACTGCCCCAAACTGTCCTATGATGGGACAGAATCACCAACTGTTCATCTGGAATTGACCTCCGACTCTCCCTCACTGAATGTTAATCTCCCAGACTACAGTTCATTACACTCACCATAGGTGCCGACGTCCCCTCTAGCCAGGGACCCCCCACTCTACCCTTAGTGTGTGTAGACAAGCTCTGAGTCACATTTGTAATGGAGACTTAATCACTTAGGTGCTTTTGAAAATGTTGCCCTTAGTTTCTCTCTCCCTCAGTTCTCCATCTGTAAAATGGGGATATTACAGTTTCCTTTCTCCCACGTTGAGCTATCTTGTCTATTTAGACATCTCCACATTGTCTCTCCTTATGTGTGTGTACAGCACAATGGTGATCTACTCCTTGTTGTGGGTTCACATGCTACAATATAGACAAGAACAGCCTGAAATTTAAAAAGCTTCAAGGAAAAATATTGAATGTTCTCCCATTGTGGAATTCTAAGCCTGTTCCTTTTTACAAACAGGGAGAACTGCCACTGAATGCAATACAAGTTCATTTTGAAGAAAAGCAAAAAAGCTCCTTTCTAATAGAAGGTACGTGACTGACACATGCTGGATACTGCATTAACAACAGTCGAACTGATTTACAGAAATCTGATTCAGTCATTTAAAACTTAGGTTCTAAAATAAGAGTTTGCTTCTGAGCTTTTATTTTTATGTAGAAAAGGGGATGGAGTTCCCAAACTTAATATGGGCAGAAATGTTTGCATCAATGGAAACAGACTTGTACCAGTGAAATGTCTGTGCTCAGAAACCGTTTTCTACTACAGCATGAGAGCTAGAAATTGAAAATGGCTTGACACCAAACAAATAGAAAATGAAACTTATCCACTCAATTTTGAACTGTGTGGAATATAAAAATGATAATCTCTACCTGTCATCATGGGATGCCTGCTGTTTGGTTAACCTTTTTTAAATTTTGACAAAACATTTCACTGAAATCTCAAATTTCTAAATATTGATGATAAAATGGAATTCAGAATAATTTCTGCATTTATTTTTTCCTGTTCAGTGTTCTTCTACAACATATAGTGATTTTAAAGCACCATCATTTGACTAAACACTAGGAGGAACAATTGTTATGGTATTTCTTTACCTTGACTATGTCCCCTTTAACTAATGCCTAAACTTAAGTAGTGTAGTTATTGATATGGCACATACATAACTAACCCTTTTTTTAAAAAAAGAGTGGGTTTAAAGAATTCTGTGTTTTGTGAACTACAGAGACAACCTGGGTGAGATAAGATCTTTTATTGGACCAACTGTGTTGGTTAGAGAGACTAACTGTCATGAACTCAGTTTAGAAACACATTTAATTCCTTTGAATAATTCAAAACCCGTAGTTTAGCAGCTGGCCCATTGTTGAAATGTAGTTGTTGATTTTTCCAGGGAAGTCCCATAACTCTCTCAGCAAGCCCCAGGGGTCCTCTATACGGGGTAGGGCCCCCCCCCCAAGCAGCTTTCCTCCCGTCTTCGGCCTTCCTGCCCCTCTGGCAGGACTGGCAGTACCGCTGCACAGCCGCAAATATCCCTGGCCAATAGAAGTGTTGGAGCAGCCTCAGCCAGGTGCTCCGGATCCCCCGGTGGCCCGCAACAGGGACGTCATGGGCCAAATACAGCAGCTTGAGGCGATACTTTTGGGGGACTACCAGCTGCCGCTGGACCCTCCCATGCCGTCACCTTCCTGGGGGGAAGCCATTCTCAGAACAGGAATCCCTGCTTCCACAGGAATCTCTCCTGGCCACCTCTCCCCAGGGGTTGAGCTGCACGGAAGCCAGCCTGGTCCCTCAGCCTCTCCGTGAACCATGATGTCCTGCTTACTCCTGGTTTTGGTGCATGGGCCTTGTGCTAACCTGTAACGCCGACAGGTGGAACCGAATTAGCTCCATGAGCCTCTATTGCATGAGCTAAAAGCCAGCTGGCTCGCAGCTCAGGCTGTAGAGAAACTCATTCTCTTCCTGTAAGTGGTCTTGGTGCCACTAAATGGGACAGCACACCACACCCAGCAGGTGTGCGGGTTTCACCTCCCCCCACCGGGGCAGTTCATCCTCAGAGGATTTCAGAGGGGAGGAAGAGGGACTCTTAATCAGCATCATTAACCACGTGATTTATGTTACTTCCAGGCCGACTAATAAACTCAATCCGGGTCACTTGCCCCAGTTACGAAGATTACCAGGAGTGGCTGTACTGCCTGAAAACAGCCCAGTTTCGAAATGCTGACTCTTCCATTTCGGGATCCGAAAGCCTCTCGGGATCAAAGCCACCTCACCTTGTGCAGGTAATTTATATTGCAGCACTGCTCGGCCATCTGTGCATGCCCCCAAGGACACCCAGCAGTTGTCTCTCTAGTCACAAGATGCTGCCCTGACGCACAAGCCTTTGCTTTGAGTCCCACACTGCAAGGCACGGATGTAAGTCTTTGATCACTTAGATAATATTTAGGGCCCTATAAAAAGCAGGTGCCTGGCAGGAGATTATGAATCTGTTGTGCAATTTGAGTGATGCATTGGAACAGTGACAATAATGGTGGCTTACAAAAGTGACAGCCACTGCTTAATATGTAATGGAAGAGATGTCGGGGCTATGAGCTGCCGAGGCTCAAAATTCTGGGGCTCAGCCCTGGCACAAATTAAGCACCAGTGATCAGGGAAGCCAACAGCTGTTCCAGCCTCTGGATCAGAGGAGAAGGGGGCTGGCTTTACATTCTCAAAATGGGCGGGGCCTCAGGAAGAAAGGGCAGGGTGGAGGCAAGCAGTCCAGACCGCGGCACACCTCCCTCCACAGCCGTAGAGCTGCCGCTCCAACGGTGATTTAAAGGGCCCAGGACTCTAGGCACCACGGGTGCTGCATAGGAATTTAGTGGCTCTGTAATATCACTGGGCCCAGGGATGATTGCTCCCTTTGCCCCTCACCCCCGCTGGCAGGAAGGCTAGTATTCCGTTTGCCTTGAGACTGTGTACAGGGGCTGGGAATTAGTGAAGGACCCTTCTCCCCATGTAACCCCCTGACCGTGCGCGTTTCCCAAAGCTGGAGAGTTAGTTCATCTCAGAGACATCCGCACTGATCAGCCGTAGGGCAGCAGCTGCCAGCAGATGTACAGGAAGGGGAGATGGGGCTTAAATGTCAAAGGTGTCTCATTAGGAAGTGCAGGCCTGGCGTGAAGGTACGTGAAGGAGTGGGGAGGTGAAGGGCTGGCCCTGGACTGTCTCAGGAGGTGGGGTACTGAGAGACACCAAGCAGCCCAGCATGGCAGTGAGCAAAATTGCTTCCCACCTCCAAAATTGCTTCCCAGCATCCAGTGTGCAGGGATGGGTCTCACCCCAGTTCCTGAAGGGGGGGGAGGGCGCTGCACACACCACCATCGTCGCTGGCCTCTCTGTAGTGCCCTGGTCCGTAGCATGGATCTCTAAGCCGCTCACAGACACGTATCGACTCTCATGTGCTGAGTGGGCAGCTCTGCCCTCTCATACAGGCAATGTTTTTGCCATGGCTTCTCATTGGTAGATTCTGGCTCATCCATTCCCCACAGCCTACCCCTCCCGCCCCGGCGCCCCCCGAAGGCCTGGCACTGACCTGCCAGCCCAGAATCCCCTCACCGGGCCCAGAACAAGGCCAATTCCCATGTGCTATTTTTACCCATGTCCCATGTAGTTCCCGGGCAGCGGGAGAGGCTCCCCCACCTCTGATGGCCGGACGAACTCCTGGACGTCAAGAGGGAAAGTGACCACCTCAGCCCACCTCTCCCAGCACAGCGGCTCCCTCCCTGACCAGCAGTCATTTGTTCTGGTGCCGGAAGGCAGAGTGATTGACGACCCCCTGTCCCCAGGCTATGCCCAGCCTGTCCATGTAAGTGCATCTCCTGGGAACCTAGGGTACACACAGGGTCAGATGTGACCTGGGGGAGGCACAGGTGTGTTCAACAGTCAGGCCAGGAAAACAATGCACTGGCCTGAACTAGTCATTTAAATACAATGAACTGGATAGAATGTGGGTGGGTGGGTGGGTGGGTGGTGCTGGATTAATTTGGTTAAACGAGAGTTTAGAGCAGCAAGGGAATTACCCAAGGAGCTAATACACATTGTGGGGGATGGGAGTTTGTTTTGGATCAGAACCCCTGTTAATATTACAACAGATGGCTCTGTTAAATCCATACCAAAAAGCTGTGTTCAAAGAATGGTGAGACTACCCTGGGAAGGCACAGATAGGTTAGAGTGAAGAGTACCACAGTTAAACGAGAGTTTAGAGCAGCAAGGGAATTACCCAAGGAGCTAATACACATTGTGGGGGATGGGAGTTTGTTTTGGATCAGAACCCCTGTTAATATTACAACAGATGGCTCTGTTAAATCCATACCAAAAAGCTGTGTTCAAAGAATGGTGAGACTACCCTGGGAAGGCACAGATAGGTTAGAGTGAAGAGTACCACACACCCTTAACTCTGCCCCTTTGCATGTAGGAACTAAACTCCATCCTTGAAATACAGTCCCGTTATGTCATTTTCACTGTGACACAAGCAGGCGTGTGCAGAATCCCATGGCATGTGCTGGGGGGGAGGAGGGGGGTAAGGCATGTGTGTCCGGACTCTCACTGTTCTGACAGCTGGCTCATAGCATTTGTTGTCTTGTTTCAGTGCTGGCCAAGCACGGGGGTTGCCAAACCAGAACTGAGGAGGAGTGGCAGCGCTCGGAAGTCCAAAGGCAAATGTGGCCCTCCCCAGCAGCTGCAGCCCAGCAGCCAGGACTCGGAAAGGGCCGCCTTTAGCTTTCCCGAAAGCCCCCATGGGGAGCTGCTGTCCCCCGTGTACAACGATCCCTATTCTGCACTGAGCTCCCAGCGGCACCCACTGCACCTGGACTTGAACAACGTAAGTGGGAGGTCTCGTCTCCCTGGGATGCAGATGACGTGGCCGAGGCTTTTCTGCTCCAACGCCCGCACGCTCGTGGTCAGGAGGGTAGAGGAACAGGTAGACCAACGGGGTCTGATCACCTGCCAACTGAAAATCCTAGATCACTAGAACTGGAAGGGACCTCGAGAGATCATCAAGTCCAGTCCCCTGCCCTCACGGCAGGACCAAGAACCATCTAGATCATCCCTGATAGATGTCCGTCCAACCTGCTCTTGAATAAATTGCCTCGGGGGCTTGTGAAATCTCCATTACTGGCGATATTTAAGTGCTGAACCACCCTGACAGGAAGTTTTTCCTAATGTCCAACCTAAACCTCCCTTGCTGCAATTTAAGCCCATTGCTTCTTGTCCTGTCCTCAGAGGTTAAGGAGAATATTTTTTCTCCCTCCTTCCCGTAATACCCTTTAAGGCAGGGGTTGGGAATCTAAGGCCCGGGGGCTGGATATGGCCCCCACCTTGCCTGCATCCGGCCCCCAAGACTTGGGGCTCCTCCCCAGCAGTGGGCAGTGGCATTCCAGCCTCCTGCCATCCCTGCATGGGGCTGGAGTACACAAAATCTACTAGCTTGGCCCCCCACCAGGCTGTGGTGTGAGAGGGGGATGTGGGGAGTGTCTTTCTCCTTCTCAGTTGGGGGGGTCTCATTAGTGAGGGTTTGTTTGTGTTCAGCCCCCGACTGATTTTTCTGTGGGTCAGCGGTCCCCGACCCAAAAAAGGTTCCCCAACCCTGCTTTACGGTATTTGAGGTATTCAGATTGCTTGTCTTGCTCACAATCTACCTCACATCCAGAAGGACCGCCCCTTAAAGGGCAATGCACAGGAAGTTACTTCTACAAGAGCAGGTGTTTTGAGGGCAGGAATGAGAAACAGGATGGGCTGGTCTTCGCTTTACATGGGGCGTGGTCTAACGAACCCCTCACATGCTTCTGGCCTTGCGTCCAAAGGCCGTGTGTGAGTGTGCCACTTTGACTGGAGCGCTGCTGGTAAAGAAGGGGAGTTTACATGGTGAAGGGGGTTGATTGTGTTATTGCTGGACATGGCATCTCCTCTGCCTGAGCCTTTCCCAGATAAATCTGGTCTCTAGAAGGTCAGAGAGGCAGGCCCAGCTCTCAGCATAAGCAAAGCAATTGGCCACTGCCTTCCCTGCAGACTCTGTCACTCTGGCTGGTTCCAGCTCCTGCTATGGCAGCAGGACAAGAGGGGAAGGAAAGTGCCGATTCAACCTTGCAGCTTGGGGCTCTGTGCATTGTGATGCTGGACTTGGGAAGAGGCCAGTGGTGTATTCTGCAGTGGCTTAGTATGTGCGGGCATGTCTCTTGTCCTCCAGCCTTATTGGGGATAAGAGCCTACTACTGGTTCACAAGCAAAGAAGTGACCCTTTTAGTTCCAGTGGTTACCGCTAATGCTTGTGGTGCTGAGGTCAGTCCCTGTGATCCATTATTTAAGACCATGCTGCATTTGGAGTTAAAATGACAGGGGAATCCCCCCCCCCACACACACACACTAGGGATATTAAAGTCTAGTAGACTATTTGACTATCCGATAAGCATTTGCTTATCAGATAGACTTTTGACTAGTCAGCTACTCGATTTCCTCCCCCTCTATGAGATAGAGGCTGGAAAAGGGGGGAGGGGTACTTCAAAGCGGTATGGATAAGCTGTGTGGTGGCTGCCCCGTTAAAACGCCACCTTCATGCGTTTCAAAGAGGCAGCAGTGGAGCCCGGGGTCCAGCTGATCCTGGGCTCTGCGTGGCATTTCCCCAGAACCCGGGGTCATTAGGGGAGGCCCCAGCTGACCCCGGGCACCATGCCAGCTGCCCCTTTGAAATGCCAGAGGCGGTGGCAATGGAACCCAGGGTCAGCTGGGCACTCCAGCTGATCCTGGGCGCCGTGTTGCACCTAGCAGCATGCAGAATAGTGCGGAGCGGAGTCCCCCACTGACCCCAGGCTCCATGGCTTTGAAATGCACAAGAGCCCCCACTAGGGACTTTTGTGCATTTCAAAGCAGGCACCCAAGTGCAGCCTGGAGCCAGCGGACTTCCCCAGTGGGGGCTCTCATACATTTCAAAGGAGGAATGTGGAAGGGCCTATCCACTAGTCAATTAACCGCATTTTAACATCCTTACCCCAGGCACACAGACACACACCTGAATTAATCCCAATATATGCCACAAGCCCAGGACTTTAAGAGTTAAAAAAAGAGCCACATAAATTCGTGGAGGTTAGGTCCATCAATGGCTATTAGCTAGGATGGGCAGGGAGGGTGTCCCTAGCCTTTGTTGGTCAGAAGCTGGGAATGGGCGACACATCATGATTCCCTGTTCTGTTCACACCCTCTGGACACCTTTGGCCACTGTCGGCAGACAGGACACGGGGCTAGACGGACCTTTGGCCTGACCCAGTGCGGCCGTTCTTATGTTCCTATGGCCTGGTGTTGATTTTTTGACTCTTTCTTTCAGTTGAATCGATGGAGCTTGGGGGAAAGTCAGACTCCGACAGCTGCCAGCAATCTGGAAAAACCGGCCCCACCCTGCTCCCCCTTGTACGCCGACCCCTACACTCCGACCCCCACCGCTGGGCTCAGAGTTGCAGACGCTGACTTCCTGGAAGAGGTATGATGTCTGTGTGACCGTGGGGGTGCTCAGGGCAAAAGGAGTCGCATGCTTGGCTCTGCTGGCAGAGCTTTGGCAGCATGTGAGCATGGCAGAGCCATGCCGGGCACAGCGGGTCTTTTCTGCTGGGCAAGTGTTCCCCAGGCCTGGAATTCTGGCGCCCGCACTCTGCTGTGACCGGCGAAATGCTCTCCCTCTGGGATCCGGACTGAAGCGGTCGGGAGCTGGTTCCTGAGAGTTGCCAAGTGACTCAGTGATGAGCAAAAATGCACCTAGACTGGGATGGGGGTGGGTGGTGAGATCTGGTATCCCCAGACCAGAGTGATTCAGCTCCCGCGACTGCTTCAGCCAAACCCGAGTTTCAGGGGTGTTGTGCGGGGGCATGCAGGCGGATCAGTGAGTTGATGCCATTTCTGTGCCCTCTACTAGCAGCCGCTTCTTACTAGTAAAAGGTTGGCTCCCTTTCAGAACCCTGAGCTGCCCGTCAGTCCCGTCCCCCCACCCTGAGGTGGCACTGTCCCCCATTGCCCCAGCCTCGTGCCCTGCCAGGCTTCACTCTGGTCTTTGCGCAGGGGCATGGCTGAATGGCGTGAGGCTACTGCCCTTCCCTCATCTAGGGGATGCGGGTCAACTTGGTGTAATTTGAAGTTTAGACCCTGAACCTCACGCATTTTATTGATAATCGGGAGTAAGGGGGTAGTCGGGGAAGGCCCCTATCCAGGGACAGCAGGTACCAAACTGGGATTTGCTCTCTTCGCAGTTTGTAAAACGTCATGGTCAGACGGGCTCAGAACGGCAGCTGAACGGCTACGCAGAAATCCCAGGGGCCCGTCCCCCGCCACCCCAGAACTACTGCCAGCCAGTGCCCAGCAGTCGCAGGAGAGAGGCGCCCGCCGCAC